ACAACCAGAACTCTCATACATTGCTGGTGAGAGAATAATATAATCACTGTGGAAAACTGGTAGTATTTACTAAAGCTAATCATACATGTATACTCTATGACCTACCAATTCTACTCAGTGCATACCCAATAGAAATGAGAGCTTATGTTCATGAAGACACATGTACAAGAATATACAGAGTTGCATTATTCATAATAGTCCAAAATGGGAAACAATTCAATGAAAAACTTATGGTACAGTCAAAACCAAAAAACAAAAGCCATTGCCTTCAAGTCGATTCCGATTCACAGTGACCCTGTGGGACGGAGTAGAACTGCCCCAAAAGGTTTCCAAGGCTGTACATCTTTATGGAAGCAGACTGCCACATCTTTCTCCCACGGAGCAGCTGCTGGGTTCAAACTGCTGACCTTTCGATTAGCAGCTGAGCGCTTAACCACTGTGCCACCATTCTTTTGTGTCTTTTTTTGTTCAACATTGTGAGTCACGAATCTAGTTGCATATAGCAAAGGCTTGTTCTTTATGATTGCTGACTGTACTATATCAGACAATGGACTATTACACAGTCATAAAGAACAAGCCTTTGCTATATGCAACTAGATTTGTGACTCTCGCAATGTTGAGTGAAAAAAGACACAAAGGAATATATACTATATGATTTTATTAGTATGAAATTCAAAAACAGGTAAAACTAATCTATGGTAATAGAAGTCAGAATAGTTATCTTTAAAAGCCATTTATGCAAAAGAGACACTAGAGCATTTCCGACGTTTGATTAGGTTTACTTTCAGCGAAACCTGTTTACACAAGACTATTTGAAGGGACAGGTTATAAATGACATGAGGATGAGAGCAGCTAGTTTGTGCTCCTACCAAGCTCACTAATCAACAGATGCTGGCAGGCTCAGTTCTGTTCTACGGAGGGCATGCTACAATCCCTGCATTGGTCTGTAAACCTGGCCCTCTATGGCTCCATGAACAAGGTCAATGCCTGTCGTGGACTGAATTATGTCCCCCAAAAACTGTGTGTTATCAATTTGGCTGTGCCATGATTCCTGGTATTGTGTGATTTCCCTATATGTTGTAAATCCTGCCTCTATAAGGCAGGACTCAATCTACAAGATTGGATTGTGTCCTGAGGCAATCTCTTGAGATATAAAAGAGAGAAGTGAGCAGAGAGACAGGGGGACCGCCTACCACCAAGAAAGCAGTGTCAGGAGCAGAGCACGTCCTTTGAACCCGGGGTCCCCGTGCGGAGAAGCTCCTAGTCCAGGGAAACACTGATGAGAAGGCCGACAGAGAGAGAAAGCCTTTTCCTGGAGCTGACGGCCTGAATTTGGACTTTTAGCCTACTTTACTGTGAAGAAATAAATTTCTCTTTGTTAAAACCATCCACTTGTGGTATTTCTATTGCAGCAGCACTAGATGACTAAGACAGTGCCTTAGTTTAGGATCTCATCATTTTCCACTCACCTCTTTACCTATCACCAGGCACACTGTGACAAGGGTGACCTTTGAAAAATACAGTGAAACCTGTGAGAGCCGGAACTCAGAGGGACTGCCTTGTTTTTCCAGGCCTCACAAGATTTCGGCCTTTGCCAGTGCAGTCTCACCACTTTTCTATTGCTCATTTTAGAGGAAAATATTTGAGTTTTCCTTCTCTAACAGGTTTCTGCCTTACACAGGTTCCAGCTTTAGCAGGTTTTACTGTACAAATATGACAGTATCACTCACCCACACTTCTACCTTACATACACAACCCTCCTTTAAATCCTTCAACGACTCCCCACTACCTATGGAATAAATTCTGCACTCTTTAGCATGGTACTTAACGTCCTTTATGATCTGGCCCCTGACTACTTTTTTTCTCTCACCATGTACCTGAGTTCCAGTCATAACAAATTATTCGTAATTAATGTAAAAACCTATGCTTTTTCTCACCTCTGTATCTTTGGGTATATAACACATCCTCTATCTAGAACAGCAGTTTTCAAAGTGTGGTTTCAGGTGGTCTACGAGGTCAAACTATTTTCAAAACACTTAAGATGTTTTCATAACACTAAAATGTTATTTGCCAAATCTGGAGGACATTATGCTGAGTGAAATAAGTCAATCACAAAATGACAAATACTGTATGGTCTCATTTTATAAAACGTCAAGAACAGGCATACACACAGAAAGTAACGTTCTCTGATAGTTGTCAGGGATGGGAGGAGAGGGGAGAATCACCTTTAAATAGAACAAAAAAAAGAAAAAAAGACCAAACCCATTTCTGTCGAGTCGATTCCAACTCATAGCAACCCTATGGGACAGAGTAGAACTTCCCCATAGGGTTTCCAAGGAGTGGCTGGTGGATTTGAACTGCCAACCTTTTGGTTAGCAGCAGATCTCTTAACCACTATGCCACTAGTAGACACTTGTTATTTCTGGTGATGGGAAAGACAATGCCCAATATGGGTGAAGTCTGCACAACTTGACCAAGGTAAATGAAAACAGTAAGAAGTATGCAAGAATAAGGGACAATTTCGGTAAATGCTATAACATATACAATTTCACAACAACAGTAATAGCAACCAAAAAATATGAGTGTGGTTAATAGGTAGATACACATGCATATATGCGTATAAGGCGCCATATGCGAGTACATGTGCACGCATGTATACGTTTGTCTGTAGGTGTATATATACATATATATACACACATATTTGTGTATGCTGCATATATATTCAGATATATAATAAAGCACATAGGGGGCACAGTTACAGAGACTTCCTAGGCATATCCAAACACCCCATGGGATTGGTTTACTGGGTTAAAAGGTTTAGGACCAGAGTCTCGTGGGACAACTCAGTCAATTGGCATAACATAGTTTATAAAGGCAGTGTTCTACATCCTAGTTTGATGAGTAGCACCTGGGGTCTTAAAAGCTTGCAAGAGGCCATCTAAGATACAACTATTGGTCTCTATTTGTCTGAAGCAAAAGTGAATGAAGGAAACCAACGACTCAAAGAAGAAACTAGTCCACAGCACTAATAGCCCACATGAACCACAGCTTCTTCTAGCCTGACACCAGAAGAATTAGATGGTGCCCGGCTACCATTACCTACCGTTCTGACCAGGTACACAACAGAAGGTCTCAAACAGAATGGGAGAAAAATGTAGAACAAAATTCAAATTCTTAAAAAAGGCCAGACTTACTGGACCGATAAGACTAGAGAAACCCCCGAAACTATAAGACACCCTCTGAACTTGGAACTGAAGCCACTCCCGGAGGTCACCTTTCAGCCAAATAATAGACTGGCTTATAAAATACAGGCAGACCCCAGGTTATGAACAAGATCCATTCCTAAGTCTGTCTTTAAGGCGAATGTGTAAGTATGTCAGAACAGGTACATACGTTTCTAACTTAGTGTAAGTCAAATGTTTGTCTTAGTATATATTTTACCTTTCTATGCCTATAAAAGAAGCCCCGCTGGCACAGTGGTTAAAGCGCTCTGCTGCTAACGGAAAGGTCGGCGGTTCAAACCCACCAGCCACTCCTCAGGAGAAAGATGTGGCGGTCTGCTTCCATAAAGATTTACAACCTTGGAAACCGTATGGGGCAGTTGTACTCTGTCCTTTAGGGTTGCTATAAGGTGGAATCAACTCAACGGCAATGGGGTTTTTTATGCCTATAAAACACTTAAGAAACACTTCCAAACTGGGCAATGTTTTCATGAGCATCACAAAGTAGTGTGTTCATTATTACGTACCAGTGCATGCATTTAGCTGAAATTTTTAATTTAATAGACTTTATGGCAGTCGATTGTTAAGTAGTCTGTAAGCTGGACATTCGTAACCCAGGCACTGCCTCTAAACAATATCATCTGTGAGTAATGTGCTCCCTTAAACAATCGACTATACAAGATCAAACGGTCAACATCTATGGAAAAGCAATGATGAGAAGGTGAGCAGGGGCAGGGAAGTTAGATCAATGCAAACAAAACAAACAGAATGGAAATAATGAGAATGCTGACACAATGTGAAAACTGTAACCAATGTCATGGAACTATGTGCGTAAAAATTGTTAAATGGGAACCCATAATTTGCTCTGTAAACTTTCACTTAAAACACAATAAAATATTTTTTAAAAAAATGTTATTTGCCTTTTCTTTTCCATGTTAACAAAATCAATGGTAGGTAAAACTGCTGATGCTTAAGAACAGTGAAGGCGGGGGCATCAAACTGTACTAGTAATACTGTATTCTTCACCACCCTGCACTTACAGTTAAGACTGTCCTGGATAAAGCAGTAAAAATTAATTATTTTATTAAATGTCTGCTTGTGAATACATCTTTTTAATAATCTATGTGACAAAATGGGAAGTATAACAGCACTTCTGCTGCAGACCAAAGTATGATAATTGTCGCAAGGAAAAGCACACGTGCAACTGAGCTGTGAGCTGAACTAGTCACTTTTTTTATGAAATACTATTATTTCTTGAATAAACAACCAACAAACTATGGTTTTTCAGACTTGGGTATTTGGCAATATTTTTCACAAAAATGAACAAAGTGAACCTGTCACTCAAGGAAAACAAACAATATTATTTGTTGCCAATGATAAAATTATAGAGTTTTGGGGCAAAAATCAGAATTTTAAAAACTTGGATCTACTTACTGTGAGCTTGACAGCTTCTCAATACTTAAAGACTTTCCTGATGAAATCAGCGATATTAACAAATGTGATTTTTTAATATTATATAATGAAATATGTCAAACATTTGGAAGATCTGTATAACTCAGTGAAGCAATATTTTCCAACTGACCAGATCATGATGTTTTGAAATAAAACATGCATGAGTAAAAAGATCCATTCAAAGTATAAGACATACCAATGGATTTTAATGTTACCGAATACAAAAGTTCATTAACATGGTTTCAGATTCCACATTGTAACTAACCTTTAAAAAACTACCACTTTCTGAGTTTGGGTATAATATCAAAGAAGAATATCCATAATTACCTGAAAAGCATAGTAAAATACTCCTCCTTTTTCCAACTACATATCTTTGAGGCTGGATTTTCTTCATGTACTTCAACCAAAACGACATATCACAGCAGACTGCATGCAGAAGCAGATATGAGAATCCAACTGTCTTCTATTAAGTCAGACATTAAAGATATTTGCAAAAAATGTAAATATCTGCTCCCTCTTCTCACAAATGTTTTGTTTTAGAAAATATAGCTATTTTCCATTAAAAAGTTATATACGCATATTAATATGTAAACTTTATTGTTATTTTAATGAATTAATAAATATTTACTTTTCCTTAGTTTTAATCTAATACAGTAAATATTCATAAATATAACCCATATAAATAAAAGCTCTTTGGGGTCCATAATAACTTTTAAAAGAGTAAAGAGGTAGGAAACCAAAAAGTTTGAGAACTGCTAATCTAGAATCTCCCCTATCCTACCTGGGGCAAACAAAGATCTGCTCCTCCAGATATCTTCTATGATATCTTAGGTAAAGTTAATCTGCTGTAATTATTTGCTGACAGTGGACAGCAAAGACTACATTCTTTCGCAGGCACTTAACTAACCGTGTGTTGAATAAACAAGGCTAAAATGCAATCCAATACTGGGTTCCCCACTGTAAATACACATGGATGAAGAGGATATTTCAAATTGGTTATTCTGTGTATTCACCATGCCCAAATCCCTTATGTCAAAACTCAAAACAACTGCTGGTGGGAATATAAATTGCATATATCTTTGTGGCACCCAACGTGGGGCTCAAATTACTCAGGCCCTGGCTCAGTTTCCCTAAGGACCAAGCCTATGGGAAGGACCCAGGAAGACAGAAGGTGCACCCCTCCTCGAGTTGTGGAGGTCTCTCAACCTGTGGTGGCCCAGAGGTCTGGCAATGGGGGAGGACTCCATGGCAGCGAGCTCTGGACAGAGGGAGAAAGTTTCCGTTGGCCATGGCAGGTAACTGGGCATCATTGGGTGGTAAACCCTCTGTAGAAGCCACAGGGGCATCGGTTCTCCCAGACTCCCTCCAAGAACGGGTGACTAGATCCCATGAGGTTGGACAAGAGACCAGCGAGGTTCCCCGTTGCAAGTGGGTACCCAGGGAAGTAAGGTTCCGGCCGAGAGTCCACTAAGAACTGGACTTATTTAGGAAGGGATCCCCTAACTAAGAGACATCTTAAAGGTTTATGTAATCAGATGTGGCCTCAATACCAGCTCCCCGATGGGGTTAAGTGACCTTTAAAATGGTTTACAGATTTTGGTGCCATTATGAAGTTTGACCTGTTTTGTACTCGAACTAACAAGTGGGATGAAAAGCTGTATGTGAAATGTTTTACGACTTTATCGCACGAACAAAAGGATAAAGCCTCTGTTTTAACCCCTCTTGTGCAGGCGAATGATGATGAGGGGGTAGGTGATGAAGAACCAGATATTATACCCAAACTCTCATTCCCTCACCTCGGAGAAACCCTCCTTGGTGCTATCAGAAGATAAGGATGGGAAGGTGTTAAAGGCGGGGTGGAGAAGGTGGGACAGATACCATCCATACTAGGAGTGGGGTAAAATTCAGACTACTTCACCCAGAAGGGCTTTACCCACTCCAGGAGGTGCCAGTCACCGCTGCAGAAAGGCCCACCTCAGATGACGTGGGTCCGTAATCCGATCCTGGCATCCGATTTGTACAACTGAAAGCAAAACTTTCCGGAGTATCCGTCAGACCCACATGCCATGACTGAACGCATTTAAGGTCTTTACCAACAGGGATCAGGTAAAAGAGGACGGGGAAAAAAAGAAAAAGACCAGGACATGAAGAAACAGGTTGCTGGTCTAGGATCATCTGGAAGAAGGTGACAAGACCGAGGTAAGGACGGGCCCCGACTAAAGAAAAACCAATGTGCATATTGCAGAGAGGACGGACACTGGAAAAACAAGTGCCCCAAAGAAAGAATGGAAAAGGGCCAGGCAAGACTGAAAGGGGGGAGAAGCTTTTTCAAGGAATTATGAAAGAGCAGGAGAAAGACTCTGAATGACAGAGACAGGGTGAGACAACTTTTGATTTACCTCCTACTGACTCCCTGGTAAAAGTTATGGTGAGAGAACAGCCAGTAGACTTTTTAGCTGATACCAGAGCAGCCTTCTCAGTACCCACTCAGAAGTCTAAAGGGACTGCCTCGACCAGCAGTACTCAAGTTGTAAGGGTGACTGGGGAAAGGATGACTCGATCTTTTTTTTTTGCCAGTGGACTGTGAAACGGGAAATCAAGCTATCCCACCACTTTCTATACACCCTGAATGCCTGGTTCCCCTTTTTTGGGCAGGATTTCCTAAGGAAAATGCCTGCTGAAAACTCTTTTGATAAAAAAGGCCTGTCTCTAACAGTACTGCCAGCAAACCCTTGGAAAGTGCAAGCAGCTTCTCTTAGCCCTCACCTAACTGGTGCTATCCCCCGCGTCTGTCTCACCCACGGCTCAAAGAGTGGTTGATGCCGTGGCCCCGTGGGTTTGGGCCAGTGGCCGGCCGGGACCAGCTCGGACTGTCCTCCCTGTGGTTGTGGTGCTGTTAAGTAATGTCATGCCTCCTCAGATTAAACAATATCCACTGAGAGTTGAGGCTCGTCTAGGACTGCAGGGACTGATCACTCGATACGATACGTGGAGTGGGGACTATTGTGAGAATGCTGATCCCCATTCAACACCCCTGTTCTGCCGGTAAAGAAGACATCGACCAGTGAGTACCGTTTTGAAGGCTGTTAACAAAGTTGTGAAGACCCTACACCCGATAGTCCTGAACCCGCCTTCCTGCACTCATTTTACTGTTTTTGGATTTAAAAGACACTTTCTTTTGTGTCCCGCTGGCTGCTGAGAGCCAGCTGATCTTTGCTTCCGAATGGGAAGGTGACAAAAGAAAGAAACAGCTCTGTTGGACTATGCTACCCCAAGGGTTTAAGAACTCCCTCACTATTTTTGGAACAGAGCTGGCCCAGGATCTAGAGTGGCTGCCTCCCCTCAAGCAAGGAGTGGTCTTTCAGTATGTGGACAGACCTCCTGATAGGAAGCAAGTCTGAGGAAGACTCCGTCACAAATACTGTGACTGTCTTAAATTTTCTGGCCAAAGCTGGATAGAGTCTCTTTAATAAAGTTACAAGCTAACCTCACAGAGGTAAAATGCCTAGGTTTCTTCATAGAAACCATCTGCAGCCTAGCCTATCAGGCTACTCAGGGGGCGGAGAGAGATCCTTTCAAAGGACTCCTGAGTGTCAAACAAGCCTTTTGTGATTTAAAGCCCCAGTGGCATGCCAGATTATCAAATACCCTTTGAATTGTATATAGAGGAGAGAAGAGGAGCGGCTGCTGGTGTATTAACCCTGTAGTTGGGACAGTGGAAATGCCCCATTGCCTATTTCTCTAAAAAAACCTGGATGCTTTTCTCAAAAAGACCGCAGGCCTGCCTCCAAGCAGATGCCACAGCTAGCATTATCGTAAAGGAGGCTAACAAATTTACCGTGGGACATGATATTATTGTCTTTGTCCCTCAAGCAGTGACTGTAGTATTGGAACAAAAAGGACCTTATTCAAAGACTTATGGGCCCAAGATTTCTAGTCCTCAAGAAATAGGAGCCTTCGAGGTGAAATATGGCAAACCGACTTTCGTGAAGTGTTCAAAACTAAACGCTGGATGAAATATTTACTGGTGTGTGTAGATTCTTTTTCAGGATGGGTAGAAGCTCTTCCCTGCTGAACCGAGACAGCTAGAGAGCAGTACAACAGGTTTCAACTGCCTTAAGAATAAAGTGAAAACTCCACACAGTATGGAGACCCTAATCTAGCAGAAAGGTTGGAAGAATGAATCAGACCATAAAACATCATCTTAGTAAACTGTGCCAAGAGACCAGGCTGCCATAGACAGATGTCCTGACACTGGCCCTCCTCCGTGTCTGTATCGCACCCCGGGGAAAACTTAAAATCAGCCCTTTTGAAACACTTAATGGGAGATCATATTGTCTCAACCAACTCTCCCCACAGTCCTCCACCTAGCCTCCCAATGTAATGATGTCTGAACGTTTGCTTTCTCTAACCAAAATTCTTTCCCAGTTGCATCGGGCAGTATGGATCCAGCAGAAGTTCCCTCTTGAGATAGCCATGCACTCTTTCCAGCTCGGCGACCAGGTGCTCCTTCGTAAGTAGAAAGACCTCCCGTTACAGCCTAAGTGGACTAGACCCTTTACTGTGCTACTCAGCACTCACACAGCCGTGAAGCTCGTGGGAGTCAAACCGTGGATCCATCATTCCCGCGTCAAGCCCTGCCTGGTCTACAGTGACAAGAAGGAGTGGAAAACTCAACCCATCGACGGCCTGAAGTTAAGACTTTCTAGGGTTAAAAAGTAAAAGTTTTTAATGCTAGCTTGGATGGGATTACTATGAGGTACGAGAGAGAAATCCGCTGGGAGAATCCTTGTCCCTGAGATAAACGGTCCTCCCCGACCCCTTGTTGGAAGATGAAAATTTTTGAATCTATATTGCTAGAAAAGTGTTCAACATTACTGATTTCTGTCTGATCAGGGGGTCGCATGCCAATTCGGCCCTGAAGTCCTGTATCTGGGATTTGTACTCCCCTAGAGGTGTCGAGAAATTTCACCACTTTAAAACACACAAAAAAGAGTTACAATATTCAGATATTTATAGTTGGGGGCCTGTTATAAGATCCACGAAGGGTTTGATTTTTTTTGGCTGACCTCCTGACTGCCAGATCTTACCTGGCTAAAAATCTTATTCATTAGTAAAACTGGATTAGTTGTTACAGGCCTGTTAATCTGTTGCTGTCTCCAATTTATGCCTATATGTGGGATGACATTCTCTGTGCCGAGTCAAACTGTCCAGTGGATGGCTCAAACCCGTCGCAGGAAAAGGCCCAATCCCTTTGCTTGAAACTTTCTGATCTAAGAGAATTGGTTGAAACTTGGGATGGGTGTATACGGCCACCTGAGTTTCAAAGGGGGGACTATGTGACCATAATACTCCCCAGCATATTTTCACCATTTCAGAATGGGCGACTGAGAGCTTGACAAACTAACGCCATGATGAACCTGTAAGTTATTTTTTCTTTTTTCTTTGCCTTCTCCGTTTTTGTATACCTTTGTTAATGACTTTATTTTATGACTTAGGATCCCCCAAAGAAGATTAGAGCCTAGACGTCAGACACTTATATCTTTAGCCTGATAAAGAAACTTCTGGTTCCTTATCTCTTTAGTATGATATGATAAAGAAACTCTTGTAATTACCTTAGAATGAATAACAACACTTTTAACCTTTGTAAAAATCATATATAAGCTCTAATGTAAAAATGCCTTTTGGGACTCCCGAAGGACAGCCTGGGTTGCTGTTGGGTCCCCAGTGGTGTACACTTCCTGAATTAAAACTTTCTCTCTTTTTCTGACTTGAGTATGTTTTATTAGCTGGACTGCTCCAGGGCACAGATCCTATTCGGGTAACATCTGGAAGGCAATTTTGCAGTATTTACAAAAAAATTACAAAAATATACAACCTTAAAAATTTATCTTAATAGGTTATTTATGCAGCACTGTTTGTAACTGCAAAAAAGGTGGGGAAAAAATCAAAATGACCTTTAATAGAATAATAAAATAAATAGTTCCTCCACATTCCATAATACTCTACAGGCAAAAACAAAAATAAGGAAATTCTTGATGTACTTGTAAGTTATACTGTTAAGCGAAAAGAGTTAAATACAGAACAAGTTTTGTAAGAAGGGGGAAAAAAGGATATCTATACTTCATTTGCTTATATATGTCTATTTTATGCTTATAAATGCATAGAATGCACCAACACTGGTAGTGTTAATTGTTGCTAGAGAGAGGAAGTGAGTGGTTTGGGGTATAGGAGCAGGAAGAAAACTTCACTCTACACCTTTTGTGCCCTTGAGACTCCACTCTAGACTGCTGCAACCAAGAACACAGGGCTCCCCTCTCCACCCAGCTCCCAGACTGAGGGCTTTCTTCTGAGGAAGAGAATGCCCTCAGCATGTTATCCTTACCACCCCTGCTGCTGAGGCTAAATTCCAGGCAAGTGCAGTTGGGAGGTAGGGACTCCCTTCTTCCAACTAACTCCCACTTATGGATTAGAGGCTCTACTTTGAGCCTAGCATGCTAAAACTACTATATAACCCTTTCAGGCTCTTGAGGTGGTGATTCCATACCAGGAGAGGCAAACTAAGAGGGCCTCAGGCTACTGCCTTTCCTCCACTCAGTGCTCAACTCTTAGAGCAGGGGAGTCACTCAGAGAGAAACTTCCCATTGTCTCCACTCCCAACTCCAGAGCCATGGCATACAAATTTTGCCTCAGGGAGAGGCAGGCCAAAAAACAGATAACTCCTAATCTCTTCCCAAAGGAACTGACTTTATTTCCAACAGAGTTTAAACCTGAGGGCACTCTCAAAAAACAGTGGCAACTGTAGTAAAACGCAATAGGGAGAAGATTTATGGATCTAATGAAAATACAGCTGAGACTACAGAAGAAAGTAGCTCCCAGAAAACAACACAGCTGAAATGAGCCCTCCTGAGGTCAGAACAAAAGGAACCCTTGTGGCACAGTGGTTAAAGCACTCGGATGCAAACCAAAAGGTCAGCAGTTCGAACTCACCAGCGGCTCTGTGGGAGAAAGATGTGACAGCCTGCTTCCATAGAGATTTACAGCCTTGGAAACCCTAAAGGGCAGTTCTAGTCTGTCCCACAGGGTCCAAATCGACTCAACAGCAGTGGAGGTCAGAACAAATATCAAACACTGACCTCAGAAACTACTGCATCAGAGGAGTCACAATTTAGTTTGTAAAGGAATTTATGCCCTAGGGCATTTTTGAAAACAATAGAGCAATCTTAATATCCAGCAATTAGTGGAGTTTAACAGCTGTATGGGGTCAGGGAAGGAGAGGATGAGAACCCTACTGGTACCACTGTCATCCCAGGGTGACTGTGAGCATCATCAAAATTGTGCCTTCCCATCCAAACTCCCTGAGGGACTGAATTGCTGGGCGGAGGGGTGTGGGGACCATGGTCTCGGGGAACATCTAGCTCAACTGGCATTAACACAGTTTATAAAGACAATGTTCTACATTCTACCTTGGTGAGTAGCGTCTGGGTCTTAAAAGCCTGTAAGCAGCCATCTAGGACACTCCACTGGTCTCATCCCTTCAGGAGCAAGGGAGAATGAAGAGAACAGGATACAAGGAAGGGACTGGTCCGAAGGACTAACGGACCACAGCTACCAAGGCCTCCACCAGACTGAGTCCAGTACAGCTAGATGG